TCCTTCTGTTGCTGTTTCACTTGCAGAAGGCCACAGCATCTCAGAATGGTTGAGATTGGAAGGGACATCTGGAGGTCATCTGGTCAAATGCCCTCCTGTCCTCAAGCAGAACCACCTGTGGCCAGTTGGGCAGGACTGTGTCCAGACAGCTTTTGAATTTCTCCAACATGGATGACTCCACAACCTCTCTTGAGAAACCTGTGCCAGTGCTTGGTCACACTGACAGTAAAAAAGTGTTTCCTGGTGTTCAGAGCCACCTGTGTTTCAGTTTGCACTCATTGCCTCTTGTCCTGTCAGTGGGTACCACTGAAAAGATCCTGGTTCCGTCTTCTTTAAACCCACCTTCAGGTATTGATAAGGTCCCTTCCCCCACAAGCCTTCTGTTCTCTAGGCTGAACAGTCCCAGATTTCTCAGCCTTTCCTCATGTGTGACGTGCTCCAATGCCTTAATCATCTTCTTGGACCCATACAGAGGAATACAGAGAAACTGTCCAAGCAGCCAGGGATCAGGTTAGGAAGGCTAAAGGCCTGATAGAATTAAATGAGGCCAAGGACATCAAGGACAACAAGAAAAGCTTCTATAGGTATGTCAGTGATAAAAGGAAGACTAGGGAAAATGGGGGTCCTCTCCGGGAGGAAACGGGAGACCTGTTTCCCGTTTGGAGAAGGCTGAGGTGCTCAATTGCTTTTTTGCCTCATTCTTCACCGGCAAATGCTCTAGTCACACCACCCAAGTTGCAGAAGGCAAAGGCAGGGACTAGCAGAATGAAGAACTGCCCACTGCAGGAGAAGATCAGGTTCGAGACCGTCTAAGAAACCTGAAGTTGCACAAGTACATGGGACCTGATGACATGCATCCATAGGTCCTGAAGGAACTGGTGGATGAATTTGCTCAGCCAAGATGCATCATATTTGAGAAGTCGTGGCAGTCCAGTGAAGTTCCCACTGACTGGAAAGGGAAGACATAACCCTCATTTTTAAGAAGGGAAAAAAGGAAGCCCCGAGGAACTATAGGCCGTTCAGTCTCACCTGTGTGCCTGGCAAGATCATGGAGCAGATGCTCCTGGAAACTATGCTAAGGCACATGGAAAATAAGGAGGTGATCGGTGACAGCTGGCATGGGTTCAGTAAGGGCAACTTGTGCCTGACAAATTTGGTGGCCTTCTACCAAGGGGTTACACTATTGGTGGGTAAGGGAAAAGCAGCTGATGGCATCTACCTGCACTTGTGCAAAGCATTTGACACTATCCCACACAAGATCCTTGTCTCTAAACCGGAGAGACATGGATTTGATGGATAGATCACTTGGTGGATAAGGAATTGGCTGGATGGTCACACTCAAGAGTTGCGGTCAACAGCTTGATATCCAAGGCGACACCAAGTTGGGCAGGAGTGTTGATCTGCTTCAGGGTAGGAAGCCTCTACAGTGGGATCTGGACAGGCTGGATCGATGGGCCGAGGCCATCTGTAAGAAGTTCTACAAGGTTCAGTGCCAGGTCCTGCACTTGGGTCACACCAAGCCCAGGCAACGCTACAGGCTTGGGGAAGAGTGGCTGGAAAGCTGCCCAGCAGAAAAGGACCTGGGGGTGTTGGTCAACAGCCAGCTGAATACGAGCCAGCAGTGTGCCCAGGTGGCCAAGGGCCAACAGCATCCGGGCTTGTAGCAGAAATGGTGTGGCCAGCAGGACTAGGGAAGGGATCGTCCCCCTGTGCTTGGCATTGGTGAGGCTGCACCTCAAATAGTGTGTTCAGTTTTGGGCCCCTCACTACAAGAAGGACATTGAGGTGCTGGAGCGTGTCCAGAGAAGGGCAGCCAAGTGGTGAAGTGTCTGGAGCACAAGTCTTACGAGGAGCAGCTGAGGGAACTGGGGTGGTTTAATCTGGAGAAGAGGAGGCTGAGGGGAGACCTGATTGCTCTCTATAGCTCCCTGAGAGGAGGTTGTAGCCGGGTGGGGGTCATTCCCTTTCCCCAAGTAACAAGCAACAAGATGAGAAGAAACAGCTTCAAGTTGCGCCAGGGGAGGCTTAGATTGGATATTAGGAAAAAATTCTTCCCCAGAAGAATTACCAAGGATTGGATCAGGGTGCCCCGGGAAGTGGTTGAGTCCCAATCCCTGGGGGGATTTCAAAGACATGTAGATGTGGTGCTTGGGGACATGGTTTAGTGGTGGACTTGGCAGTGTTGGCTTAATGGTTGGACTTGTTGATCTTAAAGGTCTTTTCCAACCAAAACAATTCTATGATTCTGTGACAGTTGATGATCTGAACAAAACTAGCAGCTCAAAAGTCTCTGAATTCTTACTGATAAAAGATGAGAGGATATATTAGGATATACAAATATATAAGGATACCCTGTTCTTAAACTCTTCTCACAGCATCTGCAACAGGCTTTATTGAAGAATGTATTCTGGGGTGGATGGATATTTATTCTGATTCATTATGGCAGTTTCTCATGATCTTCTGTTATACTCTCTATAGTGTTGACCCCAACGATCAGAAGAAGACGGCTTGTTATGACATAGATGTAGAAGTTGAAGACCCATTAAAGGGACAGATGAGTAGTTTTCTTCTCTCAACAGCTAATCAACAAGAGATTACAGCATTGGACAACAAGGTACTAGCCCAGGAGTAAAGTATCACATGGCATATATTCTCATTACGTACCTTCATGTGGGTTTGGTGTCACATGTCAAAGGTGGTGATGTGCTTTCAAGGGATGAATCAGCCACATGCAATGAGAATACAAAGGGGTGAGTGGCATTCCCGCTTAGGTCTTGATCCATGGTCTGACAGAGTTGTCGAGGTGATAGAAGCAGAGTTTCATAGGTAGTATAATGAGTCCCCTGGCATTCAAGAATCATCTGAACTGTTTGACTATAACTTTATTGAGATGTCATGGTATCTTGCTAAATTGCTATAAGGCAGTACTAAGAGAATCTTGTACTCCAGATGTGTTTTGTGCACACACAGGTGCAGAACAGCTCTCTGCAGTAGGTGCAAACATGGAAAACTCATGGCAGAAAAGTCACTTGGAGCAGTTTGGCAGACTTGTTTTCAGTGTTACTGAAAGAGGATCATGTGCGCTTCAAATAGTACTATCTGTCTTACAGCAGTGGTGAGCTCTGCAGGCTATGTTGGGGTTCATGTCATGGGGACTATTAGCCAGCTTTTGCCACATGTGTAAATGACTGATTTGGCTTGGTAAGGGACAAACAAAAGTGGCTTCTCAGAGCAAGGGAAGAAGAGGTGTGACATCATGAACTGGAGATGATTTATGTGACATACAGTGAGGCCAAATTTCTTTTTGTTTACCTCTAATACAAATAAATATGTTAAACTCTGGTCTTCATGTGATTTTAAAGGGGGGGTTGGGCACTAGCAATCCTATGGATTGTGGTAACTAGTGCAGCATTTTTTGTTTTGTGACTCTTGAGAAAGGTCCTTTTCAGCAGGGCAGCTGCTCAGCCATTTGGTTCCCAGCCTATATAAGCCTGCATGCAGCATGCATACAATTATTTTGTTTCCAGTCCAGCTCACCTTTTCCCATGTCTGTATCACCTCTTTTTTGAGCATTTGCTACAGCAGAGGGCAAGCTGCAATTAGTGAAGTTACTAAAGTCACTTCTGGGTAAACAGGCATTGACTGCTGCATTGTTATCACCTGTAGCGTTTATTGCTATGCTGCCACAGAGTCCTCTAGTGGAAATTCGGTGCATGTCAACAGATTCCTCCAGCATGGCTACATCATTTTCCCACATAAGGAGTGATAGCAGCTCTCTTCTGTTAACATACTATATAGTTGTGCCTACACAAGTGGCCTCGATGGCATAGCCAGATCGGGGCGGATTATTTTCTCCCGTGTGCCTGGCCACATTAGCTCTTTTGGCAAAATAGATGTATACATTAAATTAAACAAGATAGGTTTACAATCTCAAACTAGAATTTTAGAGGAACAGGGTAACACAAGTTTGTTTTTCTGTGTGTGTGTATGTGCAAATGATTCATTAACTCTCCTCCCATTGATCATACTTCATTTTGTTATCCAGTATGATTATAGGACCTTGACTTCTCTTTGGAGTCTTCATTCTTCCCTGCTGCTTAATGCTCATTTATTTAATAATATTTCTGAAGATATCACTCATTTTCTATAAACCTTCCGTACTCCTGATTTCTCATTGTTCATACTCCTCTTCTTTTTGCAGCCATTGTGACTTTAATAAGCTTTCTTGTTAAGAAAAAAGACTAGAAGTCATGCCTGTTATGTGAGTTCATTTAACATGGACTCGATCAGACAATCACTAGAAATTTTAAGGATCACAGCAGGGTACTGAAGATACGATGATGATTAACCAGGGGAATAACTGCTTTCTTGCCTTGGGCACTGTTTAAAGACGTATTTGTGTAGCGCCTTTTCTGAAAAATCCCATAGTTGGCAGAAAGACTGATTATACACAGGAAATTACTACATTGTTCAGTGGCATGACTTAGCTCTTCAGCATTGTATATAGCATGCCATCCAACAGTTCAATGCAGGAAGTGAAGAAGAATCCTGTGCACAATTGTATTGCAGAAGTACAAGTAAAACCCAAATGTAATTGCAGGATTGTGGTTAACTCCCTCTTTGAAGGGAAAAAGCAGTGGGAACCTGCACAAGTCTGCTGTGTAGAATTGTCAGCTTTGTACATTACAAGAAGTACAAAGATGCTAAAGGGGCTGACCTCAGGGTGACTGGAGCATGGGAGGAATTAACTAACATCTGCTTTGTTTTTTCTGTCAGATTCATGAGACAATTGAATCCATAAATCAGTTAAAAATACAACGTGATTTCATGCTGAGTTTCTCTAAAGATCCCAAAGGATACATCCAAGACCTTCTCCGGTCCCAAAGTAGGGATCTTAAGGTGAGCTAAGGTTTGAAGAAGAATGAATAGTGGAACCAGAATGTAAGAATTTTATCTAAACGTATATAGAGTGTATAGCTAAACCACCCAGGATGGAAAAATGGCAGAGGACAGACAATGAGTGGAATATTGCAATCCCAGAGCAGACAGTATGTAGGAAAGACAGTTTAGGCTGTATTCCACTTCCAGTAGAACAGCGGTGCTTAATCAGGGTGGTAGGTGAATTTGTGGTTGGACAGTAGATTGAAGTGTAGGGCTGTGTTGGTGTACTCCATAAAATTAAAGCTATATAAAACTCAGCAGGAGCATCCTATAGTACAATAGCACAATTCAGGTGTTTTGTTAATTTATAATTTAATTTTATTTAATAAATTGACAGATTAAATATCACACGCCTTTGAGCTTAGCTTTGAGATACCCAACAAATGGAATGTAAAGAAGTTCAGTTGTTTGCTAGCAAAAATGAATAATTTGTTCTTCATAAAGTTTCACACTTTGTGTCTTTAACTCAGATGCCTTAAAACCAATTGTATTAATGAATCCATGAAATTATTATAATAAAATTGTGTCTTTCAAATATAAATATCTAGTTTGTAGTCAGTAGTCTTCCAAAAATCTACTGTTAAGATTATGATTATTATCATTTATATTGTATTCAATCTGAAAGAATGTTTAAATAAAGCAGCCTTTAGATTGAAGAGCTTACAAATTAAAGTGTATTGGAGCTTCTCTAGTTGCATACATAGTACAATTGTTCAGTGTTCTCCCTGACTGTCAAGCAGTCCTATAAGGGCCTTTTCTATAATGTTCATCCCTGCTGGCATCAGAATTGTGATTGCACAATACTACTTTGCAGAAGATGCTAATGATTTTCTATTTACCCTTGATTCTGTGATGCTGGAGACTTAGCCATTAGAATTTTATTTTTCTGTAGAATGGGATGGTTTGGGTTGGAAGGGATCTTAAAGATCATCCAGATCCAACTCCCTCTGCCATGGGCAGGGACACCCTCCACTAGACGAGG